GAAAGGGCTTCTGGGAAGGCATGAAGCTGCAGTGTTTTATGTTCAGCGGTATTGTTTAGCAGCACGTGTTCCAAGATGGCGGACAAAGTGAAGGTTGTTCGAGAGAGTGTTCTAAGTCAAAAACAGGTTTGAAAACCCCAAATGAAACTATTGATGATAACAGAATGGATATCATGAACTCTACTTCCTATGGGGATTAAAATGATGTGATATTTATGGAATCAGTAGCTTGATTTCGGCATAAAATGTTGTATACGAAAAATTGTGTAAGAAATAAATTTTTCAGACATAAGCTTAATTTCTTTTATTTAAGACGTATTTTGCCTTATTTATGCAGGTTGATTTAGCTGTTTCTGCTCTCATGAAGCATGTTCAAGAGAAGGAGAAAAGTAAACCAAGCTTGCTTGGAGACCAACAGGTGTTATGGCTGATTCTGGCTCTGAAGAAAATCCCAGCACCAGATAAAAAGCCTAAGAGAATGTGAGTACTAAACTCTGGAGATACTGGGTGATAGATAATTGGGCTGAGATCATAGAAAACTCAAGCCTTTTCTAGAAAGGTGGGGGGGGGGGGGGGGGTTGTGTCCTTCACTTTTTAAGGTTAAAGGGACAACATCATCGAAAAGAGGGGGAGAGAAGTGGGGTTGGAGTTATTTACACCTCTGAACCAGGCATGAAGCGGAGATTTACCCCTGGCATAGTTTCATAGTTTCCATAATCACCATCAACTTTTTGAAAACAGGGGGAAATGGCAATAGTGTTTATTATTGTTAATACAGACAATGCTAACCAATGAAATCTTTATTTCAGAGCCATTAGTAATTCACTGCATCCAGATGACTCTGATGTCTGTCTTATTACTAAATCTGAAGGCAAACCTGTCAAGGAACTTCTGCAGTCAGCTGGGGTCACTTCTGTTAAGAAGGTATGTTATAATATTATTTACATTATGGGATAATGCTTACTCATTGCTATAGAAGTTAAACAGTAATGATAAAAGGGTAAATTATACACCGTGAAAAGATGAAAAAATTTACTGACGTTTCGGATGCTAGTCCTTCGTTGGAGTAAAAGAGAAAGAGGTGGTAGAAAGGAGTGTTTATATACTGAGAATAAGACAAAAGAAACCAATGAGAACAAGGTGGGCAAGGAAACCAAAAAAAAAAAAACAATCAAAAAACAAAAGAATGGGTTAGTTGAAAGCAAAGCGTTCATTAATCCCATTGGGACTAAAAGTGCCCAATATGTGGATAACTTGCATTTCTTTATATAAATAAACCTTAAATGATAACAAGTAAATTAGTGATTAAGATTTTGTCCATAATTCTATGGGTAAGGTGTTACACTTAATACATATTTATATTATCCTAATTATTGCCTTGGGCTTTTAGGTTATCAGTCTGACAAAACTAAAGAAGAATTACAAGTCTTATGAATCCAAAAGACAGTTAGCAAGCTTGTATGACTTGTTCATTTGTGATGACGTTATCTACCATCTATTGCCAAAGTTTCTTGGGAAAGCTTTCTATACTAGAAAAAAGTGAGTTAACTGAGACTACAGAGGAGGGCCGGTGATTATATCACGCCAGTTTTTCCCTTTTGCATACTAGTCTCTTATATTTTTCAATCCTAGTCCTCTATCCCTGACACTATGTGGTACTTGGTTCTAAGATTGTCTGGATTTCCAAAAAGTATTATGGTTTTAGTTACTAGAATTAGAATGTATTATTATTGACTGTAACATAGGA